CTTTTCTGTTTCTGCTCACCATTGCAGAACAGAAACAGTGCAATGGCCTGCCCCTCTGCCAGGAACGCTGTTCGCCCAGGGTGGCTGCTCCCAGAGGCACTTGCAGCCATGTGCACGCCCAGACTCTAACCGAAATACCACTCGCTCTGTCGTGTTTCTGTTTCTACTTACATTTCTGTTTGTTATTATGTTACCCTGTTGTTGATTGCAGTACGGCAGGGGTCCGCCTATCTCTCAGGCAGCGGGCTGCTGCGAGTGCCTGGTGGCAGCGGCGCTGGCTGGAAGAATAGCCACGTGTAGCGAGGTTGTTGTGAGACGTCTCAAAAACAACCTCGCTACACGTTGCTGCGAGTGCCTGGTGGCAGCGGCGCTGGCTGGAAGACAAACCACATATGTTCTTGCTGTTATAACATTGTTTTATTTTGTTATAAGGTTGCTGGAAGACAACCCTTTCCGCCGTTGTTTTTGCTTCTGTTCCTGTCAACTGGTTGCTTGCTGATTGATCGCAGTATGGAGGTGGCCCGACCCTATCCCAGGCAGCGTGCTGCTGCGAGTGCCTGGTGGCAGAGGCTTTAGCAGCAGTGAGTGCAGGCAGCTACAGGGAGGAGGGGGCGCGCGTGCGACTGCTGGTGGAAGAAAACATCAAAGGAAGGGGCCTGGAGGGACTGGGATACTATGTCTCCAAGCCATGGTGAGTGCGTGCATGTGTGCACCCCTTATTCTTTCTCCCAGCCTTCCCCCTCCCTCCTCCTCCCTCTACAAGTTTCCCAACCACAGTTTCTATCACCACCCCATTTTCCCTTTGGGTTGATCAACGGGCTCTTTGAGACGTTTCATATCAACACCCCCTTTCCCGCCTCCTCCCATCCCCGCCTCCCCCTCCCCCCCCCTCCTCCTCCCGCCTACTCAGGCTTAACAACTGGCTGAGGAGGACAAAAGCTGACGCCCCTACCGCGGCTGACAGCAACCCCCTGGGCGGCATTGTTTGTCCGCACCTGGGCTTGATGCCGGAGGGTGCAGGAGGGGAGGCGAGGAGGGCAGTTGTGAGTAGGGAGGTGTGGGGGTGGCTGAAACGGTGGGCGGAGGAGGGGAGGAGGAGAGGAGAGGAAGAGAGAGTTAAAGAGGCCGAAGAGAGAGCAAGGGAGGAGAGCGAGATTGTGCAAGAGGGGGATAAGAGTTTGAGGAAGGAGGAAAGTTTGAGTGAAGGGGAGCATTGTACGGGTAAGGAAGAGGGGAAGTCTCTAGCGAGCAATGGAGCAGAGACCAAGGAAGCCGCAATCACAGAGATCAAGAAGGGAAGGAAGAGGTAGTGACAGAAGCAAAGGGTGTGACCAAGCCTCGCCTGGCTCCAGAAAAGGCTCCAGCATCTATGATTCCCAGTCAGTCGTTGGAGTTCCCAGCTTCTACTGCAGAGTGTGCCGTGTGCGTGGCAGCAGCAGCAGAGGCGGCGGAACAGGCAGATGCGCTGAGTCTCGTGCAGCAGCAGCAGCGCCAACAATTTCTCCGCCTCTTCTCCCTCCGCCCCCTCCCCCTAGCCCTCCCCTCCTCCCTCTCCCCTCACCCCTCCGCTCTAACCTCCTCCCGTCCCTCTTCCCCCATCTCTTCCCCTCGCCCCGCCTCCTCCTCTCCACCCTCCTCTCCATCCCCACCTTCGCCACTGGGTGCATCTCGCAAGACACAGCAACAGGAGCCTGTTTCTGAGGCGCCTCAAAAGCAAGAGGAGTGTGGATACCCGTACGCACTCATCCCCTCCTCCTGGGTCGGCCTCTGGCGCTCCTTCCTCTCCGCCTCGCCTTCTGCCGCCAGTCGGACTGCGCCTATCCCCACCTCCGCTGAACCAGCACCTGCAGCACCTGCAGCGACAGCAGCACCTGCAGGGGCAGCGGCATGCCAGCAAACGCCGCCCAGTCTAGACGGGGCACTGAGGGCCATGCGGTGTCAGCAGCATGGGGGCCTGGTTGCGCCGCTGCCCGCACTGGTTAGTAGCAGGAAGGGAGAGCTGCTTCAGGCAAACTCTGAGTCGGTGAGTATCCCTTTCCTGTTTTGAGACGTCTGAAAGTGTTTCCCCAGTTTGGAGGGAGCACTGAGGGCTGTGCGGTGCGAGCAGCATGGGGGGCTGGTTGCGCTGCCGCCAGCACTGGTCAGCAGCAGGAAGGGCGAGCTGCTTCAGGCAAACTCTGAGTCTGTGAGTATCCCTTTCTTGAGACGTCTCAAAGTGTTTCCCAGTCTAGAGGGAGCGCTGAGGGCCGTGCGGTGTGAGCAGCATGGGGGGCTGGTTGCCCTGCTGCTGGCACTGGTTAGCAGCAGCAGGAAGGGGGAGCTACTTCAGGCAAACACTGAGTCTGTGAGTATCTCTCCCTTAGTAGAACACACACGTAGCTATCCATTTGTTTTGAGACGTCTCAAAGGCCCCTCCATGTCTAGAAGGGGCACTGAGGGCCAAGTTTTTTTAGATGAGAAATATAGATATTGTTTTCATCTGGTTATGTGTGCACCTGCAAAAACATCACTCATCCGTTTGCTATAGGACAACCATATAAATGTGTTGAAAATGAGGAAATTGGAGGAAGCGGGGAGGTCGACATTTTTATGGCCAGCTGTTGCTAGGAGAGAGAAAGCTTCATGCAATCAGGGCTCTCCCATAAGCTACAAAGCCACGAGAGCTCACCACACCAATAGGCTACACCATAGCCAAAGAGCTGAAACATTTCATCTCGCGGGAGCTCGAGTCGAACCAATGGTGGTGGTGGTCCATGTTTCACAAACGGGCTTTAGGCCGTGACCCCACTTGTCCAGCGACCCCAGGGCTGACCTCAAAGGCAACCCGTGCGCTGAATTCCAGGTGCCTTACGATGGATCCAACGATGACTCCGCGAGTGTCTGACGTAAAGAGGACCACCCTCGCAGCCATGGATTATACAAATCCCACAACCAATTCGATGTCGCCAGCTGTCGTTGTGAGAAACCACACCACGAGAGCTCACGGTTTGTTGTGAGGGTTGACAAGCAAGCTCGAAACTGGAGAGCATGGCAGGCAGGTGGCGGTTGATGATGGCTGAAGGCGCGAGGCGATGAGGTCCCAAGGGTGTCGCAACCTCCCCAAGTGTCCGTGAAAGTGGCTGGAATCGCAGGCACACGCTCGAACTATAGGTCTGCCCACTTTCTTACCGTACAGCCATCTAAACATACAGCTTTGCCCGCTCCCGATGCTTCCCCCGCTACTCCTACAAGCTCTAGGCTTGAAAGACTCTTTCAAACGACATGGCTCGGGTGGTTCAAGTGGTGCTGGCGGCAGCATGGCTGCTCACAATGATTCTGTCTGCTGCTGTGACAACGTTCGTGACTGCTCCCCTCATTGTGAGCAGCCATGCTGCCGCCAGCACCACTTGAACCACCCGAGCCATGTCGCTTGAAAGAGTCTTTCAAGCCTAGAGCTTGTAGGAGTAGCGGGGGAAGCAGCGGAAGCGGGCAAAGCTGTATGTTTAGATGGCTGTACGGTGAAAAAGCAGGTAGACCTATTATGTTGTCATTCACGCCAGTCTTGGAAATCTGTTGAGCGAGGTTATTTTCTTTATTTGGTAAGGTTCCCAGAGGATTTCGAAGCTATTGTCCATGTATTGCTTAAAAGGGTCTTCATAACATAAGAAAGCTTTCTGAAATGGGAAAACATTGTGTGTAAGTAACATCAAGAAGCTCTGATGGATTGTGAAGACCCTTTCAAGCAATACATGGACAACAACTTGGAGATCTGTAAAACCTTACCAAATAATGAAAAATATCCTCGCGCGACGAATTCCCAGAAAGCACGTTCTGTCCCCTTCATCCATCCACACCATTTCTCATCCCTCTTGACACAATCCTCCCCATCCCCACACCCCTCTTTATCACTCCCCTTACCTCTGTACCCCCGTGACACCTCAGGAACCCTTCACTATAGTCACACGGTCAGAATGGGACGAGCTGAGCAGCCAGTGGGGCAGCACACCTGCCTCTGCCATCCGCGCACGAGTCAAATCAAATCTTATCTCCAACAACCATGCAGCTGATCCCAAATCTTCACGAAGTCAAAAAATCACTGTAGGGAAGAGCCGAAGAGACAATTCCGTTCCCACCCCATACTGCCTGGAGACCATCCCTCCTTTGTGTCACATCTGCTACAAGAACCCAGAGGAAATTGCAGAGGAGGAGGAGAGGGCATTGAGGGAAGAGTTACCGAGGGGGGATTACAGGGAGGAGGAGATTGTTGTGTTGCTTGTGAGGGGGTCTGAGCCTCCCCCTTCTGTTGTTGCTTCCACGTATGGTTTTCCGCCGTTAGCCGTGTCGCGCCGGTTTGCGTCTGCTGCTGGTGGTGCTGCTGGTGCTGCTGCTGCTGGTGCTGCTGGTGATGCTACTGGTGGTGCTGCTGGTGGTGCTAGTGCTGCTATTACTACAGCTGCTGGGGGCGCTACTTGTGCCACTGACACTCCTGCTACTAATGGTGCTGCTGCTGCTGGTGTTCCTGGTGCTGCTCCCTGTGCTGAAGCTGCCGTTGCTGCTGCCGCTTCAGGTGCTGGTGCTGTTACTACTAGGCCACTGAAAGCAGCGATACCACTGGCCATGCCATACAAACGGCCACTGCGAACGGGGGGAAGCCGTGTTGCAATAAGGGTATCAGGCACAACCACCCTGCACCAGCTGAAGCTGCAGATCTGGGAGTCCCTGGGAGTGGTCCCTGAGAACCAGCGCATTGGGTTTGGCACGGAGGAAGTTACTGATCTGGAGGGCCATGAGGGTTTGTCGATGGTGCAGGCTGGAGTGTTTGCGGGTGCCCGGCTTTGGGTGATGGATACCAAAGAGCACAAGGACAGGGACATTGCAGGTAAGTGGGTGGACGGTGTAATGTTTGCTCCATTCTTGATAATCAAATGGCTTTGGGTGGTGGATACTAAAGTGCACAAGGACAGAGACATTGCAGGTAAGTGGGTGGACGGTGTAATGTTTGCTCCATTCTTGATAATCAAATGGCTCTGGGTGGTGGATACCAAAGAGCACAAGGACAGGGACATTGCAGGTGCGTGGGTGGAGGGTTTGTCTTTGTGGAAATCACTGCGTTGGAGGAGCATGAGGGTGTGTCGCTGGTGCAAGCTGGAGTGTTTGCGGGTGCCCGGCTTTGGGTGGTGGATACCAAAGAGCACAAGGACAGGGACATTGCAGGTAAGTGGGTGGACGGTGTAATGTTTGCTCCATTCTTGATAATCAAATGGCTCTGGGTGGTGGATACCAAAGAGCACAAGGACAGAGACATCGCAGGTACACGGGTGAATGCATTTTTTATTATTATTACCATTTTTTAAAGCCAGATAGCTTGAGCTGGGTAATCTAAAGATGTCTAATAATACCGTAGGTGGTTTGGGTGGGTTTATATTAGCTCCTCTCTGTCTCTTACACCTCTCTCATACCCCGTAACCTCAAGTTGCTCACCCTAGTCACCCCAAAACGCTGCTCACTTCCTTTTTCCTCCTTGCAATTTCTCCCCAACACATCTGTTTTCGTTCCCCACCGCTCCCTCCTCCCTCTTCCAGTCCCCCCCCCCCTCTTGTTCCGTCAGAGGAGCTCCCAGTTGTTGATGACACGCAGGAGGAGGAGGCAGGCTTTAAGGGCACAGGCCTGGCTGGTGGTTTCGCGGTGACTAGTTTTCCAGCAGCAGACGCAGATACAGTAGCAGTTGAAGGCAATTTCTCCTCCCTCTTCCCTCTCCCCTCCCTTGTTCCGTCAGAGGAGCTTCCAGTTGTGGATGACGCACAGAAGGAGGAGGCAGGCTTTAAGGGCACGGGCCTTGCTGGCAGTTTCCCAGTAACTAGTTTTCCTGTAGCAGACGCACCAACAGTAGCAGCAGACGCAGCAACAGTAGCAGTCGAAGGCGTTAAGTTGGATGTAGATGATGCTGCAGATGGTACTGTAGTATGTCTCGAATAGGATGTCAAAGGTAGTTTGCTTGAAGTGGCAAGGGTAGGAGTAATGGTGGACAGATTTACATATAGAGAGACCCGTTGACGACACTTTATTTGCTAACATGAAGACTATCTATCCTAAGAGAATAATACACTTTGTTTCACCAGGTGTCAAAATGATTTTTTTACCGCATGGCCAAGCCAAGGAACTATGGGACTGGTCTAGCATCTCTGAAGGAGCATTTGTTATGGTCTAGCTTTGACATCAATATTCATCAACAAGCAACAAAGCAATGTAGCCTGAATGTCTAACACTGCCTTGTACAGAATTTCCAGTATCGGGCTTTTGATGTCGAGTTCAAATCTCAGAGACCTAATTTCTGACACCTAAAATTCGTGACCAGATTTGTCGCTAGGCGACGCTTCGGCAATAATAGCCGCGCAAGGTATCCGTTACGTCGTTCTCCTCTCCGTCGATCCTCAATTGCGATTGATCGCATTCGTCGACTTCGCCTTGCTTTGAATCCGACCGTTGCGGATCAAGTAGAACCGATCAGTTCGAAGTCATTCCGTTTTGAAACTTATCTTATATCTTCCAAAAACACACCGACTTTTGAGTCGACTCAAACGTCGGCACGATGGCGACAGCGGGGACGCAGATCATCGAGTCGGGTCACGCCGACGCGATTCACGACGTGCAGATGGACTACTACGGCAAGCGACTGGCGACGGCGTCGTCCGATCGCTCCATTCGCGTCTTCTCCGTCGCAGGCGACCACCACTCGCATCTCGCGGATCTGATTGGTCAGTTTTCAAAAGTGCCTCCTGCATAGCCGGATCGGATTCGTCGCTTTTCCGTCGGCGTGCATTTACGTCATATCTTTCACATTTAACGTCATTCCTCCCGCATTTTTTACTGTCGTAGCCTTTACCACCTTACGCTTCCATTCTCAATTCGATTGCTTCGCACGCGTTTCTTGTTTTATTCCGATTCGAAATTGTCGTTATTGGCGTTCGAAACCGTGGTTGCTTCGGAACGATGTTCAACTTTAGCGTCCCCATTGATCCCGTCTCCCCGCAGGTCACGAGGGTCCGGTTTGGAAGGTGGCTCACCCTGAATTCTAGTTTTGAGGCGCCTCAAAATACGCTCCCATTGGTTCCGTCTCCCTGCAGGTCACGAGGGTCCGGTTTGGCAGGTGGCCTGGGCTCACCCTAAATTCGTTTTTTGAGGCGCCTCAAAATACGCTCCCATTGGTTCTGTTTCTCCGCAGGTCACGAGGGTCCGGTGTGGCAGGTGACTTGGGCTCACCCCAAATTTCGGTCCATCCTCGCGTCGTGCTCGTACGACCGCAAAGTGATCATCTGGAAAGAAACCAGCGAGAACCAGTGGATCAAGGTGCGTTGGTCGATCACGGTGCGTTAGTGGATGGAGGTCTGTGAGTGAATGATGGTGCGTCTGTGGTTTAGATGCGACCCCATGGGTGAAAATCTTTTTCTGAGGCGCCTCAAAAATCGCCTCAAAATGAGGCGCCTCAAAAAAAGAGTGAATGATGGTGCGTCTGTGGATCAGATGCGACCTCATGGGTGGAAATCAGTGGCTGTGAGAACAAAAATGACATGTTGTGTTGTGTGGGAGTGGATAAGGATGAACCAGGGACATTCCCCTTTAAACCACTGAGTAATTATAAGCTCTAAAAGATCAGTTCAGGAACCAGTGGGAATCATGAAACCCACTAATGAGTGACCCTCTTTAGTCGTGGTCCCCTCGTGGACTGGTGCTGATGCCACGGCACCACGAGTATGGGCTGGTGCTCGCATGCACCTCCTCTGATGGCTCCATCTCCATCCTCACCTGCCGCGCCGACAGCGGCTGGGATGCCTTCCTCCCGCATCCCCCAAGCCGTCTTCTCCTCACCCTGAGCCCTCCTTCCTGCTTTCCCCCGCACTCTTTTAACACTCCAGGCGCAGGTGTTTTCAGATCACGAGGGGTCGGTGAACAGCATCAGCTGGGCGCCTCACTCATTGTTTGCCCTCTCAACTTCTCCCTCCACACTTTCGTGCTTCTTTCTCTCTACCGCTCTCCCCATCTCAGGCGCAGGTGTTTTCAGATCACGAGGGGTCGGTGAACAGCATCAGCTGGGCGCCACACGAGTATGGGCTGGTGCTCGCATGCGCCTCCTCTGATGGCTCCATCTCCATCCTCACCCACCGCGCCGACGGTGGCTGGGATGCCTCCCGGATCCCCCAAGCCCACCCTGTCGGGGTTACTTCTGTTTCCTGGGCTCCGGCTACGGTTCCAGGAAGTTTTCTGGGGTCGGGTCCGAATCCTGTGCTGCGGTTTGTGTCCGGGGGATGTGATAATATGGTGAAGATTTGGCGGTATTCTAGTGAGGGAGGGGGAGGGTGGCGGCTGGACGGCGCGCCGCCAGGTTTGGCTCGGCACACGGATTGGGTTCGGGATGTGGCTTGGGCGCCGAACCTGGGCCTGCCGAAGAGTACAATCGCCAGTGCTTCACAGGTGGGTCTGACTTGGGGAAACGAATTGGGGTCGTGCTGATTTTACTGCCTTGGGGCTGTTTCTTCTGTGATGGTTTTAATGTGACCTTTTCCCTCATTTCAGGTGCCTGTGCGTTGGCTGATCTGGCTGTAATTCATGTATGTTCCTCTTTATATCCCTTTTATCTACAGGATGGCACTGTATTGATCTGGACCCAGACGAGCGAGTCGGACCCGTGGAAACCCCTGCTGCTGCAGGACTTCAAGGTGCCTGTGTGGAGGGTCAGCTGGTCGCTAACTGGAAACATCCTTGCTGTATCGGATGCGAATAACAATGTGTCGCTCTGGAAGGAGGCTGCAGACGGACAATGGTCCCAAGTCTCCACTATCCAACAACCATAGATAGGTTAGTCATACGGGTATGACACTAGTTTTAGTACCGTATCAAATGCTGAGTTGATGAAAGTCATATGGGATAACAACAACATTGCATTGAAGGTGAAAGCGATCGTATTGTTGCAGCATATTGCAATGACAGATTGGCCTTCTAGGAGTTAACTTCGTCTGATTGAGCCACATTTGCTTATGTCAGTCACCCTCACTGTCTATGCCTCCTAAGCCTATAATCAGTATGTAGAATATGTATATAACATCCGTGAATCTGTGTCAATTTCTTGGGTCTGAAAAGGGTGTAGAGAACTTTCCACTTACATTTGACAAAAGACTCCACTCAAGCTTTGGTTTTGATTGAACATGGGAGTGCGAGTCACGTGGAACAAAATCCAACCCAAACCGACTGAAGCCTCCACTGTCCAGTCGCAAACTTGTCGTTTTCTCGTGAGTTGGGCGGTCCCGCCAACAGAGGCCCCACCTGAAGAATGCACAGAAGGGCAAGAGACCATTTGTTCGTTCCGTATTGACAAAGCTGGTATGGCTGGCAGGAACTGTTCAGGTGTTTCCTCCTCAACATACAGACGCAAATTCGATATAAGCTTGAGAAAAGACAGATGTAGTTCCCGTCTGTGACCCAGCTGTACGTCCCTCGTTTCCCCCTCCCTCCCACCCCAGCGGAAACGTTCTTTTGTTTCCCCTGACCCATATCCTGACAACACCACAAACAGCGGGCAGCGGGCAGCTTGAAGCGGTCCTCTAGAGAAAAACGGAGCAGTTTCAATTGAACAACATCACCTGAACGTTTCCGAGTCGAACCCAACCCAACCCTCGTCAACCCGCCAGGGACCAATTTGCCACCCTTCACTTCCACCTCGAACCGAGACCCTCCCCCCTCCTCTCAAGCGAGGGATGTCCTCTCCTCTCCGTCTCGCCCATCGTCCCTCTTGGCACCTGTGATTTGGTCTTCGTGTGTTTTGGTTGGCTTCTCTCCACTGACTAGTTTCCTGGCTGAATGAGTTGGTGCTTCCTAGAGCATTTCCGCCTAACCCGCAAGAGCGCAATAGTTCTTTCTGTGCACTATTACAGGGGCGCAAGGAGGTTTCATAGAACATCCTGATAGGTACCAGTGTTCTTCTAAGACGTAGTGGGCTGAAGTAGCTAGCAGGCACCCGTCTTAAGGCTAGGTGCAAACCGCTCGGGAGTCTTTCTTTTGGTTATTCTGTCATGATGTTCGACAATGGGGAATCCGTGTGGTCGTTCATTACAATCATAGTGTGTATAGCGTTCACTGTACTCGCCTTCCTCTGGATGCACTTCTGCTACTTCCCGGGCGGCTACAAACGGAGCGAGGTCATGGACATGGGCGAGTACGCAATGATAGTTGCCGCCCAACGGCTAAACAAGCTCGAGGATAAATCCAAGGAGGGCTATCCAGAAGACGCGGACGAGTTATACTACGAGCGGAATCCCGAGGATGGCGCCGAGAATCACGGCGAGGAAGGTGGAGACTGGCAGAGCCAGGCTGACACTGACGTGGAGCAGCCTGGAGAATATTACGAGGAGGAAGAGACCCCGCGATACGACGTAAGCTTACCTACACGGGAATAGTCTGACATTGTTGGACGCGATTCGAGCCCCTGGGTGTAGATGCGTCGGTTAGGACTCGTCCGCTGAAGTCGGGCTTCAGCGTAGTGGAGCGTCTAAGGTTGGGAGTTGATGAGGTGTGAAAACCCTTCCAGCGGAACTCTGCACGCATGGCGTTCAGTTGAGTCGAGTCGTGGGAGGGAATCAGGCCTAGTCGACTCGAAAGTTTCGAGGCGACTGCAGCGGGGACACATGTGTAGAGGATGGGTTGATTCGTTTTGGTTAATTTTCTAGTAGCAGAGTGTTGAGTCAAGCGCAATTCCTGAACAGCGACAATCGTCGCGTCGTTTTCTTGGTTGCTTAACGTGCGTCTTTTATCCTCTTTCCGTGGCTTCCATCCACTCTTGTCCCAACCCTCCTGCTCCTTTGTTTCTCTTGTCTCACCACCTCTTTTCTCTTCCTCTTTTCTCTTCATTCTCTCCCTCTTTTCTCACATCGCCTCCTTTTCGCAGCCATCGGTAACCACCCCCTCATCGCAACCATCAGCCGGAGATCGCGACACCGCCAGCTACAGGGACGACCGAAGCGATTCGACATACACCGCCTCGACACCGCACTCGTCCGGCTACTCCTATTGAGATGCCCGTCCTGATGTTTTCCTGCTGCCCGGCCCAGGCTCCACTTTCGCCTGACCCTCTACGCTACCATGAGGAATTTCGGGGCATATTCACGATCGATGCTTTGTAACTGCGGCGAAACAGGCCTCCCTATAACGAGTTCCGAGGCTCGACAAGACACCGCAGCAGAGCCATTTAAGGAACAAGTTCCGTGCTTGGCATCTCTTGTTAGAAGTGTTTCCCCCTGTTGTATAATGTGACGACTCTGGTTGCAGCTTTGGTATACCTTGATTTCATATTTTCATTCGTTTCTTTCCCAAGTCTCGTGGGGTGAGTATTTACACAAATAGTCAGCCTTGTAAAGAGCCTCTCGCTTCACCACCTGAGTACCAGCTTGGAACATTATACATGAACTGTGAAGGATTTTCTTTATCCTCCCATGAGAACATCACAGTGCAAGTGAATGTAGTCACGCATGGTACAAAATAATCAACCTACTGAGCTTCAAGTCCAGACTTCCCTAAATCCTCCTAGGGTGCAATGACCACCTCCTCCCTCTTCTGAACAGCCAGCACTTTCAACAGCAGACTAGCTTTCACCATAGCAGGGCCCAGTTCGCCCTCCACCAGTTCCACCTCCCCCTCGCTCATCCCCTTCCCCGCCTCATCCACAGCAGCCCTAAACGCCTTCATAGGATCCCCTACAGTCTCAGGATACTCCTGGAAAAAGCTCACAGCCTTGGCTGCTCGCAGGGAGGGCAGGCACTCCACTGCCTTTGCTCCGATGCGCATGCCGTTGGTTAGGTGCGTGACCAGGAGAGTGAACGTGTGGGAGAAGAGCCGGAGGCGAGCAGCGTCAGCAGGGGAAATGGCCGCTGAGGCAGCACCACCGCTGGTTGAGGCTGATGCTTTCTGGCCCAGTTGCTCGATCAGTCGCACGTAGGCTATGGTCTCAGTGGTGGCAGATGCAGGTACTGCGGCTGATGCTGCTGCTGCCTCTCTTCCTGCTCCTGCTGCTTCTGATCCAGCTGCTGTTGCTCCCGTGGTGGCACCCACGTTAGAAAGAGCCGCGATATCGCTCCTTAAAGCCTCGCTTCGCGACAGCCCCATTGCTGGACCCACCAGGCTTAAAACCCTCGTGGCTCCTGACACATCCTCCCCACCATTGCCGCCAGACTCCCCGCCGATATTTCCGCCCGATTCCCCACCGATTTTCCCGCCAAGGGCTTGTAGCACAGCCCTATCAAGAGCCTCGTGCACGTGCATCTGGTCGACTAGGTATTGCCCGAACCTCTTCGCTCCGAACCTCCACCGATCGAACGACGGCAGCGGCGGCTCCCCTTTGGCCCGCGCAACAGAAAGCTTCCCCTGCGACTCGAGAATCTGCAGGTGTCTCACCAGGCGCTCGTACAGGCCTACATGCGGCGCGGGTTTATCTCCTTCAGCCAGTTGCTGCCGAGGCTGCTGGTCAGCTTCGGCCTGAGCCTCGTAGGCTTGAGAAGTGGTGCCAGGAGTGAAGCTTTTCACCTTGAGATTGCCAATTTCGTCCGGACCTATTTCCGACGCTGCCGAACCTGCAGCCTCCCAACCTTCCACCCGGACGAAGTCTACCCGACCTTTTGCTGCTGCGCGCTGGTCTACCAACGGATGGCCACGTGTCGGCGCTGGGTTGGAGGAGGACTTTTCCTCCAATTTCTGCACGAGACGCGTGATCTTCGGATCTTCTGGCACGACGGCGGACGGTCCTGATTTCGACCCATTTTCACGCGGTTTCTTGGTCCCCCCAGCAGACTTGCTACCCTTAGATTTAGCCGGCTAGTCAGTCAACTAGATTTGTTCGAAGGGCCGGACCCAAACCCCTTTCCCGACCCACCCGCTGCTGCTGTAATTCTGACTGAACGACTTCTGCAGACAGAAAACGCAGTTCTGCTCGAGCCTGAAAGAAATCTGCTCTCCGGACGCGAAAGTTGATGATAACAGGGGAGATTAACGAGTAATGTCGCCATGTGAGAAAAAATATACGTGCAGCTTAGGTGGCGACACGACAAGGAGGTACCTTGGTTGTAGGTAAGTTGGATAAACGTTCTACGGATTCAACCATGCGTACTAGGTAATGCAACTATGCCTTCCAAAGCGCCAAATTTCATCACCATCGCCTTGGTTGTTGGCGAAAGCCTATATACTCCGGAATGTTACCAGTAGATCGTTAGCTCGTGAACGCAGAATCGGACGGCCAAAAACTGTGTTGGGCAGGCGAAATGGACAAGTGGACGGAGACGGAAAGACCTCGGGATTACGGTCCCTGAACTTGGTCGGTCTTCAATTGTAGCCAGGTGAGTGCATGTACAGAATACACTCGAGTACCACATAACTGGTTACTTGCGCTCATATATTTCCTGAGTTCTAATTACTTGAATTCATATTCTGGGTCTTGACTTAGCTACTGGCCTGCTCATTAACGTGGCAGATCAACAACTGAGCTCAGAATTGCATCTATCAATCAACCCATCATTGAGCCGAACAGAGAAGCGTGAAGAATCTGACTATCATGACTGATAGACGCGGTCTTCCAAAGGTGAAGGAACTGTGTACATGGCAGACACAAGTATGAAACTCGTACGTAAATGCAGGATATGCATGTACTAAGGATATGCAGCAAGGTGTGGATGTGGGAAAGAGATGATAGGAGGTGACCAGGGGAAGGAGGGGGTAAAATAGCTGTTGGATTGGACCTCGAACAAAATTCGTAACTTGGGGAGAAAGAAGAAGGAAGCCCATATGTATGGGGATGAAATTGTACCTCTGCAAG